CTACCCACTGGGAGGTAGAGGCAAGACCATGGGCTGCTCTGTTGGGCCACCTGGACCATCATCTCTGCTGGCTGTGATGGGGATGCAGGAGTGGGGAGGGGGTTTGGGAGGTTCAGGGTCATAGAAGGCCAGGTTGGAAGGGACCTCAGCAGCACCACCTCTACTGATCTGGACACCTGTGGTGTCAGATCCTTCAGGAGCCTTTTTGGTCTCCTTGGAAAGGGTCGTGGAGTTTTTGGTCATAAGCCTGGAGACAAACCCAGCCAGTGACAGAGACACAAACACCCTAGGGAGGACTAAGCTTCTCTAACTAGCTTGACAGATGGACAGCCTTGTTCCCAGGAACAAAACCAGCCTTCCCTGGCTCCAGGAGATGTTTTGGCCACCAAGTGCTGGGAGGCTGAGGGTGCAGGGCAGGTCCCCTTGGCAGCAGGAGCCCCAGGGTGAGCTCTGCAGCTGCACAGCCAGGGGCAGGGGGATGTGTTGGCTGAAGAACATCTCCCATGTCCCATCCTGACCTCCTGGAGGTGGCGTTCCTGGTCTGAGAACAAAGCCTGTGCCCTGGCAGGCAAACATGGGGCTCCTGCCACCAGAGATTCAGACACTGGGTCCAATGTGATGTCCCTTAAAACACAGACTGAGCTCATGGACACTTTCAGTGTCCTGGGAAACCAAAGCACATCTAGTGAGGAGGCACAGCAACCTTCTCCTGAGGTTCCTCCCTTCTCCTGGGCTGGCCAGGCAAAGCTGCCTGAAGGCAAGAACCTCTAAACCTCCTGGAAAACTCCTGAGGAGGGATTTAGTTGGAATTCTTCCTGGGAAGGGCTGGTGAGGAGGCAGCTGCCCCTGGCAGGAGGGCAGGGGTGGCACCTGGAGGGGACAGATGGCCTTGGCCAAGGGTCCTGCTGCCCTGCCAGGCTGGGCTGCTCCAGCCCTGCCTCCCAGCACGGGGCTCAGCTCAGTTTGCTGCAGACAAACCAGCCCCTCAGGCAGGTGGGTGTGTTTGGAGGTGTTTTCTCCTGGCAGCAGCAGGGGCTCTGCCCCCCCAGCCCTGCCTGCACCTTCACCTCCAGGCTTCCCTTCCACTGCTTTCCCTCTTCCCTTGGAATTGGGGTGGAAATAAAGGAGCTATTGGCATTTTTATTTGCTGGTCCCACTGCTCCACCCTCTCCTTCCTGATGGAGCAAGTGTGGGGCTTCCCCTCCTGCTTTTGGCTGCTGCCTGAAGCTCAGCTGATGGTTCCCACACCAGGTCACTCAGCTGCTGCTTCTGGGCTCCTCACCCCAGGCACTAAAATCCTCCTGCATCCCCCCAAACCAGCACCTTCTGCACATCCCCAAGGGGGCCCTGAAGGGCAGCAGGGTGGACATCTCGAGTGTTTCCATCCCCTGCTTTGAAAATCCATCCCCTGGGGTGAGGGCTGAAGCTGCAACACCCCCCTGCTCCATGGGGGTGGGAAATTCAACCCAACCTCAAGGGGCTGGATTTGGAGCAGTGGGATTGCAAAGCACCAGGGGGGTGTTAAGAAGAAGGTTTTGGGGAGCAGGAGGTGCATCTCAAGGGCTTCTTTCTAGGCAAGTGTTGCAAGGTTGGTTGGCTTTGAGAAGAGGCTCAGGGCAAAAAAAAAGGAGCTTGGCTGCAGCAGGCAGGGCTGTCAGAGAGGCTGGGAGGAGGTGGGGAGGCAGTGGTGAGTTCTGGAGACAAAAAAACCATGTGTGGCCATCAGGTGGGAGCACCAGTGGTGTTTGACACTGGAAACTGTTCATCTTCCCTGGGCCATTCCCAGCCTCTGTCAGCAAAGCCTCCTGACACTTGTGTGAGGGAGGGAATCATGGAATGGTTTGGGTTGGAAGGGACCTTAAAGATCATCTAGATCCAACCCCCTGCATGGGCAGGGACATCTCCCACCAGCCCAGGCTGCTCCAAGCCCCATCCAACCTGCCCTTCAACACTGCCAGGGATGGGGCAGCCACAGCTTCCCTGGGCAACCTGGGCCAGGCTCTCACCACCCTCACAGGGAAGACCTTTTTCCTCATGTCCAACCTGAATCTCCCCTCTTTAAGCTGCAAACCATTGCCCCTTTTCCTCTCACTACACACCCCTGTCCAAAGCCCCCTTCAGATCTTGGACAGTTGCTATAAGGTCACTATGGGGCCTCCTCTTCTCCAGGCTGAACAACCCCAACTCCTTCAGCCCTTCTCCACACATGGATTGAAGCTGCAGACAAGCCAAGTGCCAAAGAAAAGGAATTGCAAGGCTCTGTGTGTCAACACCTCCTCCTCCTTCTCTCCCCATGGAGCACCAGCCCTTGGCTACCACTGATGTGCTGGGGATGCAGCTGGAGCTGCTGAGGGGCTGGGGCAGGAGGGGTCTGGACCTCCTGGCTGGACCTGGGTTACCTGAATCCAGCCCATGGGGGACACTGGTGACCTGGCTGCATTCAGCAGGGCTTGGGGTGGAGTTCATTTCAATGGTCTTTGCCAAAAGAAATAGCCCTGCTCCCTTTATCCTGGGATGGGGGGGAGCTCCTGAAGCCTTGGCTTGGTGCTGCCTTCCCTGGGAACAGCTTCTGCCACTTCTTCTACCTCCAGAATCCTGGTGCTGCTGCTGAAACCCTGGGGCCAGAGCTCAGGTCTCTGCCAGCACAGGGAGTACACGGGCTGGGGGATCTCACAGGGGGGTTACACACACTTTATGTACCCCAGGTATTCAACCTCCAGCTTTCCAGCCCTGGTTTGGACCCTCCACACACGTTCCAACCCCATGGGAGGAGCTCCAGGAGGATCCCTTGTCCCTCTGCATCCCTTGTCCCTCTGCATCCCTTGTCCCTCTGCATCCCTCCCTGGCAGGAGCACCATCCCATTGCCATCTCTGCTCCCTTCCAGCAGGTGCTTCCCATGGGGAATCCTTGCTTTGGAAAAGCCTTCCCATGGGCTCTGAAAACCCTAAGCAAGCCCAAACCCAAGCAGGGCTGCAGGTCTCCTGCTTGTGCTGGCACTCAATGGAGCTGGGAGAGGGGCTGGGACCTGGGAGAAGGAGACTTCTGGGTGGGATGTGGCGTGAGGAGCAGAGAGGGACCCAGCACTGGGTCCTCACTGCCCGGTGCTGGATGCAGCTTTAGTGTTGAAAGGCTCTTTAGGGGGGGTCCTGACACCACCCATGATGTCAGCTGGGTAGGTGGGGGACACCCACCTTGTCCTCCTGCCCTGCTTCCCCTGGGATGCCCCCCCCTCACATCCCTGGCTGGGGTTTTGCCCCAGCAGAGCACAACCTCCAACAGGGACCCTCCTCTGGTTCCCAGGTGGCCTTCTCTTCCACCCCTCTGCTGCCTCCACCTGCCTCATCTCCCTCCTGCCACTTCTCTCACAAACCACCCCCCAAAAACCTCTCCTGGCACCAGGCACAGGCCTGAGTGGGACCTCAGAGGTGACTGCCTCACCCAGCCACCAAACAAGCTCCCAGGGTGGACTTCTCAGGGTCCTTCCATGCCCCATGACACCCCAGCTCTCAGACCCCCCTCCACCTTCACCCCAGCACACCCAGAGCTCTTGGTGACAGCAGGTGGGTGCCCACACGTGTGTCCCACACCCAGCTGGGCTTGTCCTCCCCTCTCTGCCCCCACGTCTTGCTGTGCTGGGTGCTGCCTCTTTCCACACCTCTCCCCCTGCCCTTTCTCCCCTCCTTTCCCTCTCTTCCTTCTGCTTCTCCTCCCTGCTCCATCACTTGGCTCAGATCAGCTCCCTGAGCCCTCCCTGCCCAGTACAAACCATCCTTCTCACTCTAGGCACTGGTCAAGAGATGCCCTGACTGGAAACACCAAACCTGGAGCTGCCTCTCTTGGCTGCCCAGGCAGGAGATGACCCAGGTGAGCTACCTGCTGCTGCCTGGCCAAGCAGGTGCCAGGTGGGGCTTCCCAAGGGTATTTAGATGCCCAAGGTGCAACGAAGAGCCAGAAAGGCTCCTTGCAGTCACCCAAGCATGGGGGAGATGTCCCAAAGTACCTCAGAAGGTACTTGAAGGTCAAGCTCTGCCTACAAGAAACCAGAGCTGAAGGGTGGTTTGTTTTTTTTGGTGCACCTCAAGTTTTCTGGGCTGAGGTTTGGAAAGAGGCACCGTGTGGGCTGCAGCTGGTTGTGCTGAGGTCCCTAAGGCTGGGAGGTGCTTTGGGAAAGGCAGTTGGGTGCTCACCCTGTCCAGGGTGCCCTAGTGCAGGTTCCCTGTTGGGCCACTGTCCCCAGGGCCCCCTCAGTGCTGAGCTCTGAGCTCTGCTGCCACCACCTCGCTCAGCCCAGCAGCTCCAGGAACAGGTCACTGGGACCACCAGGCAACTTCTAACATTAATTTCCCCCCCAAAAAAAGAGCTTGAGGTAAAAATGAACCAACTGTTACTGGCAACAAATGCTTTTTAGAGAAGGCTTAGTAGGTTTTGTTACCGTGTCCATCGGGGACACCAGCAGAACTTGGTATGACTTGTTCAGAAGAGCTGTCTGGAGAAAAAGGAGAATGCAGAAAGCCAGGCTGTGTCCAACACCAGCCCCTCCAGCTTCAGGCTAGGAACTGGAGCCACAAAGTACCCTCAGTGTCATGGTGGTGGATCTAGCACTTCCTAAGGGAATCACCACCTTTCCAAAAAGAGAACCAGGAGAATCAAAAACATCATTTCAAGGTTTAAAAAACCTCCCCCAGGTTTTGGTTCCAAACTACACTGTTGCTAACCAGTATTGTAAGGCTTGGACTTTTTTTTCCTTCTTTTTTTTTTTTAAAAAAAAAGGAAGTATTTTTGTCTTTTTGGCAGCTTTGTGGGCAAGGTGGGAGCTCCAGCTCCAGGAACGGGAGCAGAGGAGGTGGGACGAGACGGGGAGGGGCTGAACCCAAAATAACCCCAAATTCGACTCCAAACGGGGGAAAGCAAACGTTTTCTGGGGTGGGAGGAGAGTGGGGAACCTGTCCACGGGCCCGGAGGGTGCTCCTGGTGGGTGTGAGGAGGAGAAGAAAGGGCTTTAGTAGAGTCCACAGCCCCGCAGGTTGTTGGCAATGATGACGTCCGTGACGGCGTCGAAGACGAACTGGATGTTGTTGGTGTCGGTGGCACAGGTGATGTGTGTGTAGATCTCCTTGTTGGTGGACTTGTTCTTGCTCTCGTACTGAGTCTGGATGTAGGCCACTGCCTCTGTGAAAGAGTTGGGGCCTGCAGGAGAGGTGAGATGGGAGGGAGAAGAAGGGGTTAAAGCGACCTCGGGAGGTGGGAGTCGCAGGGTGGAGGACCTGGGGAGCTTGGATGGGGTTGGTGCAACCTGGGTCACCTCATCTCCACCTTGCTAACCAGCCAGGAGTGCTGCCAGATGCTCTCTGGCTGCCACCTGGGCTGGAGCTTCATCCTGAGCTGCTGTTTCTGGCCTTGAGTGATGGAAGGGAGGAGGGACTTGGGTGCTGAAGGGGCTCTGATGGGAAACACCAGAAGAAATTCCACCTCCTGGTTAACAGAAAAAAAGAAGAGGAAAAAAAAAAACCTGACCAGGAAGGTGGGAAGTGCTTGACCTGCTGCAAAGGCTCAGATTTTTGTTCTTCTTGGAGATTTTGGGTTCAAGTTGCAGCTTTTGATGGACAAGAGGAACTAAAACAGCCCTGGGTTGAAGGTACCTGTGTCCTCCTTTCCCTGAATCACTGAGAGAAAAGGGCCTCTGCTGTGGACCAGGAGTCTTCCTCCTGGTGCAGAGTTTCTGCTCTGATCTCCATCTCTCAGCCCAGGGCATGGTCTTCTCTGTCTGCACTGGGAGCTGCTGGGTGCCCAGTGGCAGAGAAAATGAAGCAGCTTGTTTTCTGTCTGCATTCCCTGGGGGTGTTTCCACGCCCAGAGGTTCCATCTGCTCGACACACCAGATGAACCTGGTGTCCCCCTAAACTAACATGCTCAACACGCTCCAGCCTGAGCTGGAGCAGCCAAACTGTGGGACCTGCTGTCCTGCAGGTGGGGGTGGGGTGGTCCTGCAGGAAGGCAAGGGACTGCAGAGGCATCCCTGCTGTGGTCAGCAAAGCCCACAGGGCAAGGTGAGGGGTGGGGACCCTGAGATCCATCACCCACTTGTGATGGATGAGCTCACTGCATCTTTCTGAGAGACCTGCAAGGGGGGTTTGATGTTCCTCAGCGAGGCTGGGAATGAGGACACAGGTTGAGGGAACTTGCTGGCAGCCCCAACACCTCCATATCTTGCCTTGGCCTCCAAACCACCACGGGGAAGAGGTGGAACCCCCTGCTCAGTGATGGTCGCCCTGGGTTGGCAAAGAACTTGCACTTCACTCATCCTCAGGCTTCAAGCAGACCACTAACCATGGATCCTATGGGATTTATGGAAGTAAAGCTGGAGGGGAAGCAACTCTAGCTGTGCATCTTTGGCTTCCCTGCCTGCAATAAACAACAGCACCAGCCCGGATGGGAAAGGCTCCGGGATCCCTTTGCTCCGTGTCCCTGCAGAGCTGGTTTTCTCATTACCTGTGTACTCAGGAAAGCAGATACTCAGTGGAGATTTCTTAATTTTCTCCTCAAAGATGTCCTTCTTGTTTAGGAAGAGGATGATGGAGGTGTCTGTGAACCATTTGTTGTTGCAGATGCTGTCAAAAAGCTTCAGCGACTCGTGCATGCGGTTCTGCAACAGAAAGGAGAGGTGGCATCAGGCCCAAGGCAGCCACTGGGGGGGATGTTCAACAAGCAGGGAGATCTAAAACAACTAAATTAAGGAGGAGAACGAATGAAAAAAACACCCCAAAAACCAGGAAAAAAAAAAAGAAGAAGCTACCATATACATCAGAGATGTAGGTGTACACACAGCTGAACATCTACGTACACGGATGCAACCCCTGGGACGTGGGACACACAGTGAGTAACTGAAGGGCATTCAGCTGGACACAGCTGCTTGGAGTTTTGCATGACATGGCATTTACAGGATCCCAGCTCTTGGCAATCATCATGCACCATGCACGGAGGGGGACTTGCTTTGCCCTTTGCTCAGATTTGTGTGTTGGTGGAGCTCATGCAGATCTTTCTCGTTTCTAATATGATGTCATTTGTTCTCATTGTTCTCATAATGATGATGATGATGATGATGCTTTTGGGGATGTGTATGGCACACAACTGGTTGCACACATTAACCAAGGACTGGTGGATCCTTGAATTAATCTAGAGTTGGAAGCAAGACACCAAGGCAACATAATTTTGGGCCTGACCTTGCCGTGACCTTTGCCTGGTTTGGTTACTTGGTTTAGTGTGGTTGGGTGGTTTTAGTTTTGAATGGAACAGCATTCCTGGTTTTTTTTTTAGTTTGAGAAGAAAGCATCTCATGGAGAGGAAGAGGTGAAAACAAGGCAGAGGAAATAGTAGAATTAAAGGACAAAAAGTCACGAGGGGCATCTCTGAAGAAGCAGCCCAGAAGTCAGGCTGGGTGTTAGTTGATGCCTCTGGAAGGTCCTCTGCTCACCAGCAGGGGAGACACACATTCCAGCTCTTTTGGTTAGAGGGCATGCCAAAAAAAACACCAAAAACCACAGAAGAGGAGAGAAAGAAGAGGGATGAACAAAACAGAGCAGTGGGAGAGCTGCAAAGCCCCCCAGGGGGTTGGATGGTGGTGGGAAGAGCTCACGGCAAAGTCAACCCAGCGTCACGTTCCCTGCTGCTTTCAACTCTTGGCTGGCTTTTTTTTTGGGTTTGGTTTTTGTTGGGTTGGGTTTTTTTGTTTGGTTGTTTGTTGTTGTTTTGGTCTCGGTTCAAGAGAAGCTTCATACCTGCCAAATTAGGTTGGTCTCTCAAAGGGTGATTTTGGGGCCTCTGTGAGGCCGTGGAGGTGCCGAGGCTGGTGGTGCTGGCGTGGCCGTCTCTGGCGGGGAGCAGCTGCTGTCAGGAAGGTGCTTCACCCCCCCAGAGGCAGGGGAGGTGTGGGTGTGGGTTGTTTTGTTTTTTTCACAAAGCCTGGGGGAGCTCAGACTGGCTCCTCAGCTTTTCCCAGAGGGAATCTCCACGGGATGGGACTTCTCCCCAACACGGTGACGACCGTCGCCGCGCCCCAAGCGGGTTTCGGGGTGGGGGGGGGTGTTGTGTGTCCTCCCCACCCCCCTCGGGGTGGGAAATGGTGGGTGATGCAGGAGGCACTGGGGGTTTTCACCCTTCCTCCTGCTCCGTTGTGTGCCCAGAGTTGCTTTCAGCCCCTCAGCAGAGTTGAGCCCAGCGTGGATCAGCACTTCCCTCCTCGCCGACGCGCTCGGGCAGCTGCTGAGCTGTTTCCTTCCCACCCCGTGGACAAAGGAGCATCCCATCCCATCCCACCCCCTGTGGAACAGGACACGGGCCATCTGCTGTCCCACGTGCCACAGGTTTTGCTACCAAGCACCTTCCCAGAGTGCAGTGACCCAGCACGTGGGGGAGAAGCCACCACGGAATGACCACGTTTACTCTTTGGGTCTCAACTGCTCCTCAGGATCATCCCGTGTCTCTGTGCTCCTTCCTGCTAAAAACACCTCTTTGCTACTTGTGGTGTTAGAACTGTGACCATGTAGGAACCTGCAAATGGTTTGGCCAGGAAGATCCTTGGCTACCCAAAGCCTTTGGGAGGAGAGAAGAAAGGGGAGGGTGGTCAAGGGAACAGAAAGCAAAGATAATTAACAGTCTTTTAAGCAGGGTCCCTCAGAGAACATTTGAAACGACATTTTCATCAGCCTTTGCTAATGGAAAGGAAAGAAAACCACAGAACACTGTTGGTGGGGTGAAGCAGGAGCCTGTCTGCAGCAGCCAGCAGCCCCAGGCCCCCCTGCTCACCCCCAGCCCCAGGTCCCACGGGGAGCAGTGGCTGCTGCTGCACCCTGGGGGCATGGGAAGCACCCATGGGGAAGAAACAGAAGCTGAGGGCTCCTCCTGAGCTGAGCTCCATGGTTATGTCACTTTCTATACGTAAGGATCCTACAGAAATCTTCCCCTTGGGTTCATCTGCACGAATACCTGGTAGGAAATGAGTGTTTTCCCAAGAAACAGCAACTCCTGGCACTCAGGTGTGACCAGCACATACACACCCCCAGCACAGACCAGTTCACCCCCGTAGAAGATGCAAATTCCAGTACAAACCCCCTGGTTCCTTTGAAATTCCAGCAATGCATCTGGAAGCTTCCTGAGGCTGCCTGCCCTGCCTTCCTGCTCTGCCCCTGCTGAGCTGGTTAGTTGAGTCAATCCAACCCCTTACTCACCCACTGACTCCTGTTCCCTATTATCCCATTCCTCCTTTTTTTTCACCTGGGAAAAATTCTGGGCTGAACATCCCCCTTTTCCTTCCCCTCCACTAAAGAGAAGAGGAACTTATCCCAGAGCAAGGAGGTGCTTTCAGAGCTGCACAGCCAGGGAGCAGGTAGGGGTGCTCCTGCTGCTGTACCTGCCTGCCAGCTGGGAAACAGTCACATCCCAGGGTGTCCACACCTGGACATGAACCATCCCAGTGCTGGCTAACACTGGGAATACCTTGCTGCCTCCCTTTCCTCCCCTTTCCCAGCTGTTCCTGGTTCAATCAGGAGATCCCCACCAGCTCTGGAAGTCTCTGGGTGCCACATGGAGAAGGACAGGCTGCTGCTAGAGGGGTTAAGGCCTCCAAACAACCCCCCTTCTACCAGCAACTTTGCAGTGAAAGACCCTTTTAGTCCCTTCAAGCTTTCAAGACTACACTTCTCCTGCTTGGACACCGAGTTCTATTCATGACTTCACCACCTTTTGGATCCATCCTGCTGCTTTTCCCTGCTGCACGTTGGCTCTGTCACTGAGAGAAGGGCTCCTCAAACATTGATGTCACTTGCTAGTTCAGAACCAGGGTTTTCAACCCTTCTCCCTGCAAATGCTTCCCACCCCAACAAGAGAACAGCCCCAGCAGGCACCTTGCAGAGCCATAACCACTCACCCACACAAATTAAAAGGCCCAGTTCACTTCTCCTTGCTCAGGACACGAGGCAAAATGGCTTAGAGCTGAGTTCAGATGTCACTGCACAACAACACGAGCACCTTCTGACTGAGTGTGAGGGAGGAAAGGTGCTGCAGTGGGTGATTCCTGCTTTCTTGTTGGTGATGAGGTGCTGACACCTGAACTGGCAGGTCACTGGTGGTTGTCCCAAGCACAAACCCTCCACATTACCCCTCCTCCTTGCACCTCCCAAGATGCCCCAGCCACCTCCACTTGCTTTGTCATTCCTAAGGCACTTTCTGAGCTCTGAAATCCAGATTTCCTGGCCCAGTGGGTCCAAGAACACACACTATCCAGGTCAGGCAATGAAACAGGAACCATCAGGTCAACACTCATGCACACCAAGGGTCACCAGCACAGCCCCTTCCACCCATCCCACCCTCAGCAAGGGGGACACCAGCAGCACTTGCATGTCTTGGTGAGACAGGGATGACCTGAATATCTGTGTTTCAGCAGCATTTCCCTCTCTTGCCATGACTCCTTTGCATTTGTGAGGAGGAGCCCAAAGGGAACAGTCTGGGTTCCCATGACAGGTCCTGTGTCCCTGCTGCCTTTAAAAAAAAATTCCATTGGGAATTCCACTTAGAAGGGACAATGGAAATCTACCTCTGTCAATCAGCTTCTCCAGTTTGACAGATGAATATGGTTGATGTCCCTCTCTCCTCTCAGATTCTGTATCTGAGGCTTTTCCTCCTGCAACCTCAGCTTAAGAAACATAAAGATAAGTCACAGAGGAGACAAAATAGCCCTGGAATGCAAGGGCATAGTCCATGGGGGGGGTCAGTCAGTTAAAAGAGGATGTTTCAGGACCTGAAGGGGCTCCAGGAAAGCTGGAGAGGGGCTTGGGACAAGGGCAGGGAGGGAGAGGACAAGGGGGAAGGGATTAAAACTGGAAGAGGGAGATTGAGGTGAGACATGAGGAGGAAATTGTTTGGTGTGAGGGTGGTGAGAGCCTGGCCCAGGTTGCCCAGGGAAGCTGTGGCTGCCCCATCCCTGGCAGTGTTGAAGGGCAGGTTGGATGGGGCTTGGAGCAGCCTGGGCTGGTGGGAGGTGTCCCTGCCCGTGCAGGGGGGTTGGATCTAGATGATCTTTAAGCCCCTTCAGACCCAAACAGCCTGGGATTCTGTGATGCTGTGCTATGTTCCCACCATGTCCAAACACTGCAGAGCCTGCAGCTCCTGGGAGGAGCCAGTGCAAGGGCAGGTGTCCCACCTGGACGTGTCCTGTGCACGGGGTGGGCTGGCAGGGGGTGGGATTTTGCCTCCTGAGCTGGAGCTGCATGTTTGCTCCTCTCCCCTGGGCACACAGGGAAGCAATTCACATCTACCAGGGTCGGGGAAGAAGGTGCTGGGGACAATGGGAGAGTCTGGGTGGAACAGCACTGGGGCTTTCTCTGCAAAGCTGGGTCTTTTGTGGCTGTAGAAAGCACAGATGCAGAAAGGTCTCTTCATTTTATGCCTTTCCTGACTCCCAGAGTGTTGCTCTTTGTGGCAGGGAATTGGAGAGAAAAGATCTCTCTTTCTAAAAGACTCAGCTGCCCTGAGGGAGGGAGGGCTTTGAACACAACCAGCCCTTTCCCAGCTGCTGCAGGAGGATGGGTGCTCAGCCTTTTGCAACAAAGAGCACCATCAAGCACAAAGAAAACCCTCAGCAAGGGCAGAGCTGGGCTGGAAAGGCAGGGAGAAGAGATGGGGCCTGGTTTCACACAGCCTGGTTTCACCAGCTTAGGCTGGTTTGGAAGGATTCACCATGAACCTGTTGTTTGTGAGACAAGCTGAGACACTGGTCCCACCATTGGCCCTGCCCTGTGCAGGTGTTGTCTGACCTGCAGCTTCATCCTCCTGAAGTGTGGTTGGTTTTAGAGGAGTTAAAAAAGCCCCTGTGAAATCACAGCATCATAGAATGGTTTGGGTTGGGAGGAACTTTAAGGAT